GTCGCAGGGTCTGAAAAGGTACGATCTTGTAGGGCGTGCATAGGGTATCCTCGAATCAAGTTTAGCCCATCGTAACGCCTACTTTGAACGGATATGCCTATTATCTAGACACGTACAATGCGAACAAAGGATAGCCTGCTTGCAATAGTTGGTCAGATAACGTTCTTGTCTCGCTTTTGACATCAATACGTCCTTATATTACGTGAGGTCTCATTCCTTTTGTGTAGCTCGATCAAGATTTTTAAGCGTCTTTGTTTGAATTTGACACGCGCGTGCATCCATAAGTCCGAATGGCTAGCTTAAAACTCTTCACATAGTCCATCTGATTTTCGATTGACAACAGACATAAATGGCTATAGGACAGAGGCTATAATACACTTGTACGAAGCGGCTACACAATATATATATTATTGGCTCTTTTCGACAGTGCCTCTGGAACTTACACAGATGGGAGGACATGGGTGGATGGAACGTGTGGGAACAAACAGAGTAAATAAGAATCCTTTCAGAGCCAATCGTACAAAGAGTAAGAAAGGAGCAAGGCAATTTAAATGCAAAAAAAAAAAAGGATTGACTGTAATTTAGTACTATATTTATTTAGTATATAATTTCATGTAAAATTATCGTCCAAATGACGATTATTACGACGGAAATCATATCGTTCAAAATCATTAATAGCGGATCTCATGGATAGCCTTTTGAGGACATACGTTCCTATTTAATTTCTCAGCTCGGAGCGCTTTCAGTGAAGTTGTCGTTGAATAATCATAAAGCGGGACCAGTTACCATTATGAAGTAGCTTATAGACAATATTATGATCTATTACATAGAAAACATTTAAGAATTATTCGATTTAGTGAATGATGCCGATCCAACTGTCAGGCTTGTACGAAGATAGAAGCTAAGTGCCGCCACACTTGCGAGTCCTATCGGAATCACAAAAAACGCCATAGTACCCATTCGAGTCTGTATGGGGATTTTCGGTTATACGCTTTTGCACAAAGGCACGATCCTGCAATTGACGGTGTCCGCAAGAACACGTTAGAGAGATTACACTGCTACGACTCATGTGTCCTGAGCTCTCCCATTATTATGATTATCAGGAACATAAACGTAAACTAAAAACACGATGAACTTCTTTCAGACTAAGAATATATATGCTGACCGTCACGTAAAAAATCTAATCTATCAAATAGATTTTAATTCAATCTATAGAACGGTCATAAATTCCTAGTTTATATATATGTCCTGATTGTAACTGCCAGTATTAACATTTTTTTTTCTTACAAATTAGGACAAAGCACAATCGAACTTTTTCCATTGGTTCGGAGACTATACCTGCTAATGCTTTGGACGATCGTAACAAGTTGGTTTGCTCCATTGCGGATCTACGTTGAACGATAATAAAAACCAATTTCGATGCTACCCAAAGCAAACCATGCTAAGCTATAGATCAGTAGTTGTCCTTTGAAGATTAAGCAATCTGTGAGCTGACGAATACAGTCGAGTGAGCAGTATCCTAGGCCATTACGAGCTCTATGATGATATCAAACGCCCACGTATTTGGTCTCTTCATTCGATAAGTTTCTTTTTCTGTCGACAAAATACAAGGTGTTTGAATTCAATTAAACAATGATATTCAAACAGACAAGGTGGCTTTGCCGCAATATTTCATTTGATCTTATTTAGTCACAAGGCGAGGATGGACATCATGTCCTTTCATGCGTCTCCTCTGCCAGCGGTCTCCGAATAGGACACCATTTACTCTGCGATTGTTCGAACATCGAAAGCTTCTAGATTTTCTTAATATGAGCCTGTTCTGTGCTTTGAGTTCCTATTTTGTTCCTCGGCCAGAATTCTGCTGTCAATTGCTGTGGTCACCTCTGCTGTTGTTACTATAATAGGAACCCCAGGCTTTCAGTCAGCCTAACATGTACAACAAGTAGACGTGGCCATAAACACTACGAAGGGTCCTCGATTGATGGAGCTCGCTCTTCGTCACTGTGCTATAACAACAACCTCTGACAAGGTTGTTACTAGCTGCATTGTCGTATGCAGCGTGTATATACATTGAAAGTTGACGATTCGGAGCATAAATACAATGCGGAGATAACAACAACAGGAGCCCTTAAGATGACTGAGGTCATCGTATAGTGATTGTAACGACACAGCTTGTTGTAACAGGATCGTCATGCTGGGTATGCATAGATGTATATTCGGCACAACAGGACACTCGCCCCTACGAGGATTTTCATACATAAACATGTACAAAGCCGAGTACAGATGTTTCAGCTTACATGGCCGAGTCAATAATGGCGCAGTTGGCGAATCAAGACGTTCTGTACATAACCGGGCTATTGAAACTCAAAAGTTAGCTTTCACTATTTGTAATTCAACTGTACAAGACGCATATGTTTGAGCTGAGAGCGCTGCGATTCGATGAGGCATAAGCTTTCCTTTTTGCATCACCTGCGTATATCCATTTCTCTTCATAGGCCCCCTGCGTCCCTTCTTGAACTATAATGATTTGCAGAACTCAAAGACGCAGTGTAAGTATCAACACCGCATTCGTAATCATAACATCAATGAAAGTATATGTTGTAGAGGATTAGCTAATGTAAGCACGAAAAGACACATTTATGTACAAATATGCGCAGCGATCGTTTCTCACTAATAGACGGTTTGAACGGATTAGCTGATACGCTCTCTCAAGGGGCGTGTCGCTCGAACGCTTAAGAAGAAGGAACTCGCAGGCCTCGCTGCAACGAAGAAAATCCTCTAAGTAGCAATGAATAGCAAAGGTTTCACAGAACGTCCCTCCGATTTGCGTCTGTGAAACAGTATCGAGCCTCGATGTTGGGGCACTCTACTAAGTGTTATTGCTGCGGGTGCAATTGAAGTTTACTTTAGAACTAAATCGGGAAAAGAACTGTAGAATCAATGGCACTATTATATGATTGCCTGGTTACTCTAACTAGCACTGGTAAAATGCGAAAACAACTCACAACAAATCCGTACTGTTTACCTACCTTGTTTCTCATTTGAATTTTAGACGTTAGATCAATGCTGGAAGATGACTTTCGGAGCGTCAGCCTTGGCGGGATATATATTTTCTCATACCACGAAGAAGCGTCTCTGAGCCCTCATTGTCTGTGAAACGCTTTCCATCAGTCCCATGGAATCAACTTTACGACATTCGTTTGTTCCTTACTCCTTTATTAATTATGCTGTCGCCACTCTGTGCATACACTATTGCTACTTACTATTCTTTTTGCTACCTATTATTACTTTTGTATCCCAAACCGTAAACAAACCAGTTTGAGTTATTTACTGTTAACGTACAAAACACGAATACTTTATGCAGGAATGATTCACCGGTGCACGCATATACATCAGAGGTTCTTAACTCATGAACGCAATCAATGGACAAATGGATGGTAGTAATTAGAGACCCAGGAAAAGCTTTGCATATGTCGTTTGCCTGAATATTCTCTTGATCCTTGAATCCGGTTCCCGAAACCCATAGCTGATCATATGTACATATTTATATCGACAAGTATCTTAAGGCCGTCATCGCTACCCAGCTCGACAGCGGATCAGCTCCATAAACATCAGTGATACACATATGCGCTGTTGGATGTAGAACTGGCAAGGAACACGTATAAAATTTTGCTCGTAAAATATTGATTTATTCTTTAGTTGGTAAATTAACCGAGTTGTCCTAACGGTGCTGAGGTCAAAATTCGAGCCTGAAAGTAATAAAGGATACAGCAAATGACAAGAATGTAACTAATCTGTGTTCTGATCTTAGTCATCTAAGGGAGTCTCCAGTGCCAGTATTTCCTGTCCTTCCTGTAAAGGCGGTGATGTCAGCCTAATGCAAATTTTTAGCTCACTGCATCAGTGCAAACAATCACGCAATTCGCTAGTAGTCCGCTCCAGGCTTTTGTTCGATAATCCAACGGTCGCCTCGCCTCTGTCCTCGTCTTTGTTGAATCGTGATGACCGAGTAGTGATAATGGTAGTACAGAAACTTGTGCATCGGTGCCACCGCATCACCGCCTGCCGATTCAATCAATTCCAATCGTTATAATGTCTCTCGTCATGATGGCCATCTGATCAATCGCCGTACTTGAATGAGCCGATTACTTACTCTCCCTGTTTCCACATCCTTGTCTCTATGTGCACGACTCAAGTGCCCTTCCTAATCACGAAGCGTCGTGGCATTAACAACATCACGGAGCCGATCAACGCGATGCGAATCTCAATGCTCCTTCGCATAGCACAGGACAAAGAGGTAACGGCGATCGATCAAAGGCTTCTTGCTTGAGTAGCTATCGGGGCATTGATACATTCAGCAGTGGATTGAGGGACGAAAAATGAAGGAGCGAGAGTTGTTAAGTCGTTCGAACTTGCTAGCAGTAATAGCAACGATGACAATAACAACAGCAGAAACAAATCACATAAGTAGCCTTATAATAAATAGATTCTACGCGATCTTGTTGTTGGCGCCGTTCCGTCTCAGCTGTTGCTGCCGTAGCTGCTCACATTGCTTGACTGTTTTCGTTTGGTCGGCAGAACATGGCCTCATTTGCACGATATCACTCCGCCCACGCGTTCGTTTTTGTCGCGATCGGGCTGTGCTATGCGTTATCCGTTGTCCATAGTTTATGTTCGGGCCAAGCGTAGGCGCCGCGAGCAAGACAGAGAAACACGACTTCGATCAGCTCTCCATTGATCAATCCGCATCAGATTTCGTTCGACCAGACCGCGTTTCCCTGATTCGATCAGATCAAAATAGCATAATACACCCAGATGTACGGCCGGATAGGTGGATAGCATAGACCAATCAATCTCACAGTTTTACTTTCGGATCTTTCTTTCTCCGCGATTGAGCTTAGTGATGACCGATAGCCGTGACTTGTAGAAGGCGGAGCGGACTCGGCTGAATTTAGCTTGCAACGAGGAACGAGGCCAACAGCTTATCAGGCGGTAACGATGACGATGGCCGAAGTGGCAGAAGTGCAATTGAAGTTGACGGGAAAAACGATCGACACCTAATAGCATTATCGTACATTGAAGGTAAACTCAGGAAAATATTACCGTTTTGGTAAGAGTTCGAATGATCAAGAATATTTAAATATTTTCAGCAGATTTAGCCTATTGCGATACAGACATTTCTGAAATTCAGAAAAAAAAGAAAACACTTCTAACGAATGATAGTCGGTAGATAATAATCAGCACTATGATGAAAATTGGGTTAGTGAATTATACCACAAACATTCAGTAATTTCTTTGTTATATGTCAAAGTAGTAGTAAAAAATGATATATTATCAACTCTCCGAACATGCGGAAGCTAGCTTGGTAAATCCCACAGAAATAGATCAGCATAAATAATTAATTATTGAGGGTGGCATGAAAATCATATACGGTCATATTCTTCTAGCGAATACTTGATCTTGCTAGGCGCTCATTTTTGCACCTTCTTCTCTACAAAACTAGTAGAAAAAACCCAATGATAATAAAAATATATTCTTTTTTCAACTATTAGACTTATTATATAAATATGTTGCCCAGAACATCAATAATGATTATTCACGTACTACAAATTATCTACGCGATCCGAGTGATCCCTACCTTCATTTGGCCACCCTACCTATATCTGAAGAAAATTTGCGGCATCGTTAATTATCGTCGGAGCGGAGCGCTAGCCGTAGCAATGAAATTTCCGAATCGTATGAATCAGCATACGGACACAAATATACCTGCCTGCCCTATATAGACGCCGTCAGGCGAAACATGTCTATTAAATACTTTGGCCGATCGATAGCCGGTTTAAAATACAGAGCACCATTCGGATGGGCTCGCTAAAAAGGCCGGCTCGAACCCAGAGCGGGAAAGCAATGTAGGCCATTTATAATGTATACATTAAAAAGGCCGCCTGTACCTGCGAGAAGTCAAAGTCATGGTTACAGCGACAACGCCATCCGATCAGGCCACGACGCCGGTGATTATGGCAATTACGGCCATAGTATTGATAATTATCATAACAATAACAGCTAAGCCCATAACAACTCTCTGATCATATTTCGAGGTACTCATGCGCAATAGCGCGATCGAATCTATCGACTGCTCCATTGCTACTGGCGCAGTCGTTGCCCAAATTATCGAAAACGCGCCCAAATCACTGAAAAAAAAAAAAAAAAAGGAAAATGGCGAAGACTCAACGACGGCCCAGCTCCACCGTACTTATTGTATTACGAATCAGCTTAGAATGTATTATGTATACACGGTGCAGCGGCTCAATATCGCGCGCGTATTGGGTACCTTAGATCCATCAGTCACGTAGGCGATACGCAATGACTACATACATAGTTCGGAACGGTACGGGAATTTCGTTTTTGCCAATATCAACAAATCGAAATGAGAGGAGACAGGGATTTGTTGAGCGTGCTTCGTCTGATGAAGGAAGCCATTAAAATGGGTACGTGTACGTGTCTATATAGCCGGCAATATTGAGCGCGTCGTAATTCATTTTTGCAGTAAATTTACATAAATCTTTAGCTATATAATCAGTGAGTAAGGGAAGATTGCTATCTAATTAGCTAGTTGACCGGCAACGGATTTCTTCCCCAACGAACCTGCACTGTTAACATACAGGGTCCATATAAAATAGCGCAGGTCTCTGTAGGTAAAAATGTAAAGTCACGGTAAAAGGTGGATCTATTTGAACACCGAAGGTGTTTATTTAATTACCACCAACGTATAGAGACGAAAGGTAATAGATATAACTAATTATTTTGATTAATACCCCACACTGTGTCAGACGCTGCAGGAGTACAGATGCGCTATAAGAAGCATACTGTTGTAAACGTACGAGTATTACACGCTCCCTTACATTCTCTAGAGATCTTGGAAATATACGAGATATTATAGTATCATTGCATATATATCTTCGCGAGCTTTAGGACAATTCAACGAAAACATCCCGTCCATAGCATCTTAAATCCTGGTCGCGGGCTGATGTGTCGGATACGAATAGCACGTCAAAAAAAATTAACGAGTCTTTCTATTTATTACCTTTGTCGGAATATAGGTCTCATTGTGGCCACATTAGCTATGATGGTATTGGTAAAATTTTGTCTTCTTCTTTCTACTACACTAATACTTCTAATTGACTTTGCCTGCTACTCTCAATCTGTACAGTATCACAATTAAGAGATTACCGCCAATGAGTAGCGAGCATTACGACGACCTGATCAAAAAGCACCCTTATACAAACGTACTGTATTATAGGTCATATGTTTGCTGCGCAGCGGGGAGGCCGCCAACTGCGGCTACGGTAAGCGTAGTTACCTAACCTAGGACGGTCACTAAAAATGCCAACATACCATATAAATAGACGTACGAATAAAAGGAATATTTTTGAGTTTCCCCGTCCTGTCTCATTTACAGTCGAACAGGGGCTTTCAAAAAACATTACGGTGCTGATTCTATTTCGTAACATCATCATTTTGTTGTACGTTAACGGATCCGGCTTTTCTGGTCGTTCAGATGTAAGGTAGATCTGCGTTGGTCCGCCGTTATTTTCGCAGCTTCCGAGGCCACTTTCCCGGCTGACGCCATCGCTCCAAATATTAATGCACATTATAGTGGCAAATATAACTAATCGATCGATCATATGAACACTAAATACCATTGTCTATCGGTCTGTGCGTACGTCGATCTGTGTAAATACATGTACGCACATAAAAATACATACGAAACCTCGCATTATCTCGCTTTTGTAAACACATACATAACCGTATCATCTTTCGTTTCTTCTCACTTCTTCTGCCCGTCTGCCGCCTGTCAAGAGTCTGTCTTAGCGCATCTATCGAATAGGCCGATTTATCGTTTAGGATCTTGGTGTTAGGCTAACTGTGAGCCAAAGAGAAACACGTCCGCGGTCTTGTTATACAGCTGCATCTTATGCAGCCCTTTCTATTGATGCGATAGACAGAATGCAGCGTTTACCAGTGAACAAATCAGTGGCGACCCAAAGGCAGATACTATACATCGCTATAAAATAATAAATCATAATTTTCGGTGGTCGCAATTACATAATCGACAAGGACGACTATGACGTTGCCGTTAGCGACGACCCGATGTGCTAACAATCTGCCAACGCCTTTAGATACCGGGACACTGAGCCGCGGCATCTGCGTCTACAGTATCTATAGAGTAAGATACAAACAACAGCAGTATGGACGTCTGAAAGCGACGCCTCGATGCGAAAAAAACAAGAAGCGACTAGAAAAATGACACAGGAAAAATTTATCGTCACCAAATTGATTCTACGATTTAGATTCAATGATTGTATCTGAAATAAAATAGCAATGAGCAAAAGGCGGAGTATCATAATAGTGAATATAACAGCAACCGGAAACAATGGTCCGATGACTCATTTCTGTTTTCGTAAGAGATGTCTCGCATTATTGAGCACGAGAACGAGTACGCAAGGGACAAGGGGATTAAACATTCAGAGAAACTAGACGATAGACGAGGGGCATTTCTAAAGAAAGTTGTAACCGCAACAATTGTTGACAAATTAACAGATATGTAAGTGCGTGACCCTGTGACAACGCTTATTTTCGTTGTTTCGTAAGACCATACAATCATTGTCGTTGTTTCTCCTATTAGCACAGCCATAGTGATTAAATTTTCCCTTGAGAGATGAACGCTAGACATATAATGCGTACATTTGAGTGTGCAGAGAAGCTTCAACCGAATATAAAATTAAACTTGAGTGTGGCTAAACCACCTAGCCGTCTGGTTATCGAACGACGTTCCACAACGACAAGATCAATAGATTTCGATATACACGCTTTGTAAAAAAATCCCTTGATTCACTGTTTCTAAGGTGGCCTAGACGATAAACAGCGACAAATGTCTGTATCGCCTCTTTTTAGCTAGGCCACCCGGACGCATTTCCGTATGACTCGTATGGAACAAACGACCTGTTTTGCTCCTTTTATATTCAGCGTGATATTATATATCAGCGCTGCGAAGTGAATTCTTCTAACTAATTCACTGCATTGTTATTGTTAGTGTATCGAACGTATACGCTTCGAAGCGCCGTTTTATCGTAGCTGTTCGAAATTGGGAAGGACGGTATGTAGAGTGTGAAAGGATGATAAATGACCCTGACCGACTAATTACTTCGACGACAATAGTCGAATGCTCTCAATCAGTGATTGTTGGCACCTTTTTGACCCAGGTCCGTAGTTGGTCGGCCTTTGATGAACGCATCTGTTTGGATCGAAATGGTTAAAGCCTTAATTTAGTGGCCTGCTCACGGTTAGTTTCGACGAACGACCCTTCGAAGCTAAACTAAGCATTGCCCCAACCGTACGTAATAGCAACGATAATATCAACTGTAAAACGTGTACATATGTGTAACGGTCGAAATTGATATCTTTCTGTAGTAAATGCCAAGATTCATAAGTGGGGATGGTCCACACTGGGGGGCAACATTACGCCTTACCCACGGACATAGAAAGTTTGTAAAAAGCAATTTTTGCGATTGCTCTACTTTGTCATATCCAATACGGGTCGATTTTTAATTCTTTAAATAGAGAGAACGTATATACACAGGTCGCCTTATAGGGAAAGCTTATCCGTAGAAAGTCTTTTTCCTGCTAAGTCTGTAGAAGTACGTTTACTGGGCATTCTATTTTCGCATAGTTCAAAGAAGCATGGAAGCTAACGTTTTTTCTATTACGTTGTAAAAAATATAGGTTGTACAAATGCAATAAAAATTAGAATACAAAGTTCCTTGAGACCGAAAAAATGCTTGTTGAAGAGTTGTCTCGAGGATTCACCGAGCGATTGCCAAGTTCTATCAATTAGAGACTTGTACAACATCTAACACGTAATGTTATAAACGAAAACACTTACAGGTGGGAGTCGAGATTAAAAATCATGCGCGGATTTAAAGCTGTCACGAGTCCAGCGAGGGCAACCGGTCCAAATTTTCGTCTATTCAACTCTACACGAACCTTATAATTGGTATAGTCTTGTTTAAAAAAGGAGAAAAGTAGCAGATGCAAATGAGCACGAATCATGAATTTGTAGCCGCGTAGTTTATGTGTCACTTTTAGCCCATGGCAAATTCAGCAGAACCTAGTCATTGAGCATATTTGCCTTACTGGCTAAAAGAACTGTGCCTGAGACATGAGCCTTTAAGGCGTGCATGTGGCGATAAAAGGCCTAGTCAGCGTAGACACCGCCACACCTATTCGGCAATCGTTCGTTCTCCTAAAGGGTTGTTTTTACTTGAAGCTTAAGGTTGCCTTACGCCCGTGGGCGCACGTATATGAAGCCGACTAACGAAAAATAGAACCGAGGTAAACGTTTTAATGAGGCCATTACAAATACGATTATTACCATAGACTTCACAACAGAAACAATTTACTAATTAAACAGGTAGAACGTATGAAGGGAGGGATCTTTTAGACACGGTGACCTATATATCAAACTTAAATATGACAATAGCAACCATTTCTTTCTTCTTAGAAAGCTAACGACGAAAATTTAGCCGCTCTATGGAAAATGGTGAAACAGAAATCGGCATAGTGCAAGATGTATCTGTGATTGGTCTTTACCTGTAGATCGAAGTACCTTCTTTATAACATTGTTTTAAATCTCTGATATGTAGACACTGTTATTACCTCGTTAAAAAACGAGAATTATGATACGGGACAATTTTTGGTATTTATTAATGTAAAATTAGCTTTATTGGGCAGTCAGCGTGATTGAAACGTTAGGAATTTTCTATGAAAATTCGAATTGAAGGCATTCATATATGAAACTATTGAAACCAATAAAATAGTCAAGCTTTTACGGTTTAGCGGTTACAAACCGACGTAGTTGAGAGAAAGAAACGTCTCTGAAAGAGAAAGAAACGTATTATCTGTTATTTGGTACGCACGAGGTTACTGTGCTCGATTTTTAAAATATTGTTGTTTCAAAAGAGAATTTGTTTTTAAATTTGTGAATTGTGAGCGAAGTGGCTTAGTAATAGCACGAATTCAATTGAAGACTTCGTGTTCATTCCACTTGGCACAATATTAGAAACGACTATAGTCGTATTCAAAGGGTACCGATTCTGGTGCATGAAATAACACTTATACGGGAATGGCAGCGGCTGCAATCATTGCAACAAGCAATATGTCTTACACGTTTGTCTATCTGCCCGTCCATAAGGGACACAGATATCGTAGGTCATATTTTACTGGTACAACAGATTACACGGCCAGCAATCGATGGACAAAATCATGAAATACGGTGCTTCATATTAAGACTGACACCCCGCAACGTAGACTTGTTTTTCGTTAGTTTTCGTCAAGGAATCAAGTGAGCTCAGTTACGTCTCCTGGATAGTACGCGTCGTAATATCTCGCAGTTCAGATACGGGGTGATTCGATATCAAGGGAGCACAAGACAGGAGCGTGGCTCAGTGTTTCGAGCGGATGTGACAAGATGCTCTCAACGCTGCCGGCCGTTCCTGCTAATATCGCTAAGCTCTTCGGCTAGAACTGGATCGGCCCTGGGCAGTTGGATTTGTCCTTGTATTGCACTCTCGTTTGCCACAGATACCGCACACAGCTATGGCAAGTCTTTCTTTAGAACTTCATTCAGTTCTTATACTAGTAAATCTAATAGGATAAATCTGCATAGATCTTAAAAATAGACTATAGATGTATGTTGGATAGGACCAACCGAACATACCATAGCAGCTAACATCTTATAGAACTTCCAAACAGATTGACTGGCAAGTAAATTCTACACAAGTCGCGAATCAGATAGGTTCATAGTGCAGTTAAGCAATTTGTCTGCTAAGTTAACAAGGTCTGTTACCCTAGATAATTTTTTTGTTGCTTTGAAAAATAAACCTTAAGTAGCACTAGGTGAGTCGGTCAATATAATTTTCTACTAATTTTATTTTTCTGTTTACGTTGTCATTATTTTTAGTAAAGGGCTAAATAGAAGAAGATATTGTTATGCATTTTCCACGTCACCCACTTCTTGATGTGCGTGAGATACCTTACTAGAGCGGAAAACGTATTGCCTATCATTTAACACTTCCGAATATTGACATCACCGCAACACTTGCTCTGTTAACACGAAGATTCTTAGAGAGGAACACGGTAACGGTGGTTGTTCTTCTCGGACGAAACGCTGACATCGTAAGTGGACTGAGGTATTCAAGTACCATCGAATACCTCAGTCCACTGACGAGCGTACCCTCCTCGTATTGTCTTCTACTTCCTCTTTGCTATCCTGTACCCCAGTTGACACGAGACTCAAGGATATCATTATACATTCGACACTCGAAACTGGTTATCGGCACACAGACACTAGAACAAACAGTTCTTCCATGAACATAATCCCACACACTAACAATGGCTGATGCTAGGCTAATATACTGCTTGACTCTGAGATAGGTTGAACGGATATTGTTCGCGAGTTTTGGACAAGCTCCTTTGAAACATCCCAATGGATTTATCTGTGTTCGTGTACTACAATATCCACCGACAGATCTTGTTTGAGTCTTTTTTTTCCTTTTCATCGCTTGTCCTTTTTATGCACGCCGCGTTTCCTTCTCTGTCTTTCTCGCCGGTCACTTTGCTGTCTCTATGAATGTCTCCGTGTATATCAAGTTTTCATCCTCTCACTTCTTCTTTTCTTGGGCGCCTCCTGTCCTCCCACCCCACCGGTTTCCGTCGCGTCTCTCGATGCATTTCTTGCGCGTGATATCTTAGAGTTTTTCGCCCCTTTTTCAAGGGATCATACCTCCAGCAGGTAGGACATGGGCGAGACTCGTCGCTCGTAGCGCCGAGTCGGCGACGCATCCAGAGTGGGTACTCCGTCGACCAATGTCCACTCTTCAACACAGTGTCGCGACGACAATCGCGACGAACACATAATTATCTGCAGATGACAAAAAGAAAAGAATGGCGTAAAAACAGAAACTGGGACAGCTCGATAATAGCAGTCTAGATTAGCAGCAGAAAGTCATAGAAGATAAATCAGATTTGCCTCTATTCGTCCACGTAGCCGTTGTAAAGACTTCGCCGGTCGTCATTGAATTTTCGCTGCCGGAGCCATTCCAATCAGTGGCAATACTATCATAGTTGTTGATGAACCTAGTGATGGAAATTCCGTTGGTGCTTCAGAATCACTCAGTGGGGGGGCGACACCTAAGGTCAGCTATTAGCGACCTCTACTGGTGGTACAATGGAGCGAAAAAAATGAAGGAGCATGCGTGAAAAAAGAAATTCAATAAAGGAAGAGAGAGTCCAAATCGCTGTTTAAATGATCAACAGCGTTTGGTGTGTATCAGTTGATTAGAAGGCCACTTCTGTATTGTTATACTTCTTATAGGACGGAACAGGTTAATCAAGAAACACACTGATATGATAAACAACAGTATCATAATCATGTTCAACGTGTAAGGGGCACGTTCATGATACTGGTTGAAGCCGGAGGACTGAATCGTCTCCGCGGACTAACTGCATTTTGCGTCATGTGACAAAATTATAAAGATTTTCATCTGATCGACGCAAAACCTATTTACATGATAGCGTTCCTTAAACACCACTTAGGAAGAGCACCTCCAGTGATTTTCAACCGAACAGAAACACATTCATATTTCTCTTCTTAGGAAGGTGCCTGTCTCTATATTTATCAACTCACGTCACCGAAACCTACTACAGAAGCTGTTGATGGCACCTGTAAAGCAGTTCGAAATAGGTGATAATGACTTGTGGCGTTTTTGATGTCCGCTAAACCGAAACTACTACGTCTTTGGAGTTCCATCCTGCTCCAAAAGCCCGCCTGGCTAAGTTCGACGATGGATAAATTCTGTGCTCAAGCACTTTTCTCAATCTTCCTGTCTTCGCTAAAGTCCCGCTTCTAACCTCATGTTAATAGTTGACGCAACCCTGCGGGGGCTTTGATGACGTAGCGATGGCGTTCATATCAAACCGACGATCAAAGTGGCCTCCTGGTTTGACAGGGTAATTTTGAGAAAGATAGACGAAGCCTTCGCACACAGGATAGGCATAAGACCGAGGGTGCAGGGAACAAGTCTCATGTTCTTCTCCGTTCCGAGAAGATCGACACTTCGCGATGGCGATGAAAGGAGGAAGGATATTGTACTTACTATAGACCACATAGAGGCCGTGAAAGCCTGCTCTAGATGTATGACAACACACCCATTCGACTTAATATATATACGAGCGTAGCTTGACGCCGATGCCGCTTCAAAGGGCGAGGTGGGATCTCTTATCCGCTCCTTCGTCTGTCCGCTTGCTCGATTCGTCAAAGAAATTTCCCCCACACCACTAGATGCCTTAAGGGGTCTGATGCTGGGACATCAAGTACACGAATAGAGAAAGCGACAAGAGGGCCGGTTTGACAAGCGGCACTTGCTTGCTGTCTCCTAGCTAGAGCCAGGTCAATGGAAGAGTGTGATACCGTTGATAATTTCATGGTTCGGGTGGAACTTGTGTGACCCAACAAGATGTGAATGGAGGTAGCAAGTTTAAAAGACGAGGCAAAAGGTCAATTAACTCTCGAAGAAATTGCTTGAACATCATAGTGGTATAAGTCAATCTTTTATTATTCATTAAATTAATTTTCTATCCGGAGTAGTAATTCCAATGAAAAAAATCTAATTCAATAGTATTTAAATAAAAGTAGATATTTTTCCTACAAAAATGGAACTTGTGGAAAAATCTGCAGATGTGCACGAGCAATGCCTCTCCGTATACAAGCCTCTTGCTCTTAAATTTCATTTAGCGTCGAGTGTTGTCAGCATTCTTTTGTAAAAGCAATATATTTTTACAACAATATAAAGTCTGAAATTAAAGCTTTCTGGGAGAAAATAACGTCAGCGGTATTTCATCTGTGGTGAAAATTTTCTATAAATAAAAAAGGATTGGCTAAAGGCTTTTTTTTGGCGAAAACCAGTTTCGCCAGTGAACGTTTTGGATCTTTTGAAT